TGTGTGTGTGTGTGTGTGTGTGTGTGTGTGTGTGTGTGTGTGTGTGTCCCCTTCCATCGAATGCCTGATGTCCATGGAGGCCAGAAGAGGGTATTGTATCTCCTCAAACTGACATTAAAGGTGGTTATGAGAGACACTGTGGGTCCTAGGAATTGAACTGTATCCTCTGCAAGGACACCAAATGCTTTTAACTACTAAGACATCTCTCTGGCTCTGAAAAATAACTATTATGTATACCTTTATGCAATTATTTAATGGGATCTAGTTCTTTTCTACTTTTGTATATAAATTTTAGTGCATGTTTTAACTTTTTCCCAACAAATAAATTTAAGCAAATCTTCATTCTTTCAAATTTTAGTTTGATTACTAAGTAAGCTAGACGTTAACAACTTTACACATTCATATAGAATAAGAATTTCAGACCAATCCCTCAAAGTCATACCAGTCTTGACATCTGATGTGATAGATCTGAATCCTCTTAATGTATAAGATAGTCAGGTGAGCTTTAGATTTCAATTTAGTCTATAACTTTTAGTAGTTTCCCTTTTGGAACAAAGGTAATGAAGACTAGTCCATGGAGATTCTCCTTTACACAACTTTTGGGCTTTTAGAACTATGAATAGAATATGGATGCTGGGTCAGGATTTAATTTTAAGTTATAGAAACCGAAATATATATACAGTTATGTCACCATGCCAAGGAAGGTATGGACTTAAACTCCATGCAACCATATTTAAATACGTTTTTGGAAGATTTTTATGGGGACAAAAATTTCTTTGCGTCTCCAAATATTTTGCTTGTATCCATTTAAACTTATCAGTATACTTTTGGCTTTTGGACATTTAGTTACAATGAGAAAGATTATGCTTATTCTATAAAACAGTTAATGCTGATAAGCTATTTTAAAATTAATGATAACATTGATTTTCAGTCTATAATTTTTAATATCAGTATATTTTTCATTCATACAAATTTAAAGTATTTATGTTTTTTTTTTGTTTTGTTTTGTTTTAGCTATTTTGAACAGAGTTAACTCCAGCACTCATTCACGAGGAATAAGGAATGGTGTACTTAATCGAGGTACAATATTACTATATCACTTTAATTGTAAACTACAATATTTCGAAAAAGTTGATTATATAGAAATGCATTTAATGTGTTGTGTAATTTTAAAATACAGGTTTTACTACTTCATTCAAGCCTACAAGCCAACGCTACCTGAATTCAACATCAAATTCTGCAGCTGCCTTGCCAGTAAATTTTCATCCTGAATCTAGATCTTCAGATAGCTCTGTTATTGTTCAGCCATTTTCGAAACAAGTAAGTGTTTTCAGAACTACATAGTCAGCTAAGGGAACATCAAGAATACCTAATTAAAATTCTAGATTATCGAAAAGTAGTTAGCATATGGGTATCAGAAAAGGTCACCATCTTTATGACAGATTAATTAGTACCCCACCCTTCAGTAATTTGGGGAATTTGCCTAAACTGAGTAGATGTAGCTTTGAAAACTAAGACTACCAAAACGTGAATAAAAAGATTATAATAAATATCATATGATGGCGAACTGGGCCAGGTATTTTTAGTTTGGAATGTGTTGAGAAGCCTTGATAGTGTTTTATTCTGAGAACTGTACCTTCATACTTTAGTTAAAAATCCTTAGTAAAAAGTAATAGATAATGGTAATAGACATAAATATTTGTGCTAAGCGCTATACATAAACTCATTTAATTCTTAAATATACTTAGGATGCAGGCATTTTATAGTTGAATAAACCTTTATTCAACTATATTCAGGTTAACCATTCATGATGCACTCCCAATGAAATGCTCCTCGGTGGCATTTTGCAATGAATTAAACATAAACTTCCATTAATGTTATTTTGTTAACCATACCCTTGAATATGTGCCTTTTTAAATGCTCTATGTGGTGAATAGGTAGTGTACATAAAGCACTTTTATGTCTGAAATATATTGATGATTGTCTTTGGGAAAAGCATTATTAGCATGATACCAAACTGAAATACCTGCTGCATTTTAATTGAACGCTTACTTATGCTTGAAGTAATGGCTGACAATCTATAGTATATTATTTCTTTTTATCGTTATTGCTGTTATGTGACTTTAAACAACATAAAGTATCCTAAAGTTTTACAGTTTCTGTTAATCGGAAGCAGATCATAGCTTAACTTGATCCTCTGCTTTAGGGTCTGCTAGGGCTACCATTCAAGATGTGGTCCTCAAAGCAGCCTCATCTAATTAACTACTGGGGAAGTATCTTCCAAGTCCAGATGGGTGTAGATAGCATTTAGTTCCCTGAGGGGTCAGACTGAGGCTCGGGCTCAGTGTCCTTTTGGCTTTTGGCTCATTCCTTGCCAGGTGGGTCTTCCTAAAAGGCCTGCTTGCCTCCTGAAAGTGAGAAGGTTTGGTTTTTGGTTTTTGGTTCCTTGTCAAGACAGAGTTTCTCTGGGTAGCTCTGGCTGTCCTGGAGCTTGCTCTGTAGCCAGGCTGGCCTTAAACTCAGATCCGTCTGCCTCTGCCTCGCAAGTGCTGGGATTAAAGGTGTGCTCCACTGTGCCTGCCTAATGGAGAGGTTCTTTTTTGTTTGGTTGGTTTTGGTTTTGGAGACAGGGTTTCTCTGTGTGGTCTCGCTTTGTATATCAGGCTAGCCTTGAACACACAGAGATCTGCCTTCCTTTGCCTCCCAAGTGCTAGAATTAAAGGTGTGTGTGCCACCAAATTGGAGTTGATTTTCTTAGTGTTAAGAAACAATAATGTTCATAAAATGATGTTATATACCTTGCCATCTTTACCATATTATGTTGCTAAGAATCAAGTCAGCTGTCATAGCCACATTAAAAGGAAAGGAATCATATAGGTTATGAATATCAGGAGATGGTATCATGGAACTCCCTTTAGAATGCAGTTATTCAGTCCTCAAGTTTGGTACAAAATTGTACAAAGCATATCTGTCGCTCCATCACTTTATGGAAAACAGCTGATAGTAGTGTTCTTTCTTACCAGTGATAAAATTTGAGCTATCAAGCCAGGCATGGTGGTGCATGCCTGTAATCTCAACACTCAGGGAGGCAGAGGTAGGTGTCTCTGAGTTCGAGGCCAGCCTGCTCTACAAAGCAAGTCCAGGACAACCAAGGCTACATAGAGAAACCCTGTCTCAGGAAAACCAAAACCAACAACAACATGTATAGTTAATGAGCATGAATTTTATGTTAATATTTAAACCTGGATTATGGTTTCAACACCATTAGTAACAAATAATGTTCTGTTGCGAATCTTTCTCAACCACACCTAACCCTAGCTTACTACCAGTCTATAGAATGGGATAGAATATTAGGTCTTTATTAATACCACTGTAACAACTAATTGATACACATTCACTGAGCAAGAATTTTCAAATAGAGAATTTTAATGACTTATAAAAGTTCAGAATATCTAAATAGTGAACTACCTAAAAACTGTTTGTTAAATGCAATAATAAAGATACTATAGTGGATTTAGGATGACCTCCATTATAAAGATGACCTTGAAAGTTGAATGACTTAATGCGCAGAAGTGACTTGTCCAAAGTAATCTTTATTTGAAAATTCTTTTTAGCTGGTTATTTGTTGACTACTGGGTTGCTTTGTTTGTATGGATACTTAATAAGTTGCTTTTGGGGGATGTGTTTAACAAAATTAACTTTATTTTAATTTTCTTAAAGTTTTGTTTCTTTGACAGTGCAAGTGAATATTTTAAAATACAAATTATTTGGAGAAAGTGTTTATGTCAATGAAGATTATTATTGGTTACTGTTAGGTCATGGAATTATTGATTATTTTTTCTTTTCACTACATTTTAAGGTTCAGATGCCCATGTCTGTCTCAAATTCTAGGTATTCCTATGAATTTATAACAATCCAATGTCAGATTAGTTAGTAACAAAATGAAATTCTTAGGTTATACTTTAATTTATTAGCACAAAACATTTGTATGAAGAACATTTTTTAGGGGAGGTTAGCACAGAGAGTTCATTGATGAAGTTCGTGTATATACCGTAAGGCTTACGAGTCAGCACTTCTACTTTTTCACTACACACTCTATGAGGAACATGTCCTACCTTTCCAAAACTTGATAGTAATGGTTATATGATGCTGTGTGTTTAACTCTCTCTCCATTGTTGAGAATAAAGGTTTTAACTCTTGCGTGTAATAAATAATTCTCCATTAAGCTTTCTTTACCATAAATTCTTGAAAGTAGAATAAAGGACCTTTTAGAGACTTGATGCAAAGTCATACCAAAATATCACCAGTAGTGAATATTACCTTTCTTTTAACTTTATCAAAACTAATATTAGTAGTAATAGGAAAGATAGTAGAGCATTCCCATATTTTTCTCATCTAGCTTTTCTCATGTTAACATCCTACGTGTTACAACTAGTAATTTATGTTAACCAAACTTTAGATTCATCATTAGAATTTGAACAATTTTTCTACTGATGTTCTTAGATCTTTTTTGTGGTTGCGCTTTACAGTTATTGTTAACTTCTTAATAGTTTTTGAGGATACACTTTTTCATTGTTCATGACTGGCAGTTAAAGAGTGTGAGTAAATTATCTTGTAGTCGGTACCATTTTTAAACTATGCCAGTTTATTTGTTAAATATTTTTATTTGTATCTTTCTGTACAGTAAATTGAGAAAAAGGAGTATATCAGGCATTTGTCATTAACATTTTGTTTCTGAATCTGTGTGTGTGTGTATATATATATGTGTGTGTGTGTGTATATATATATACACATGTATACATACATGTGTTGAAAAATAGCTCCTTTTTGAGACAGGGTTGCCCAGGCAGACCTTGAGTTTGCTCTGTAGCCAAGGAAGGCTTTGAATTCCATATCGTCTTGTTTTTCCCTCCTGAGTGCTGAGATCACAGGTGTACACCACTGTGTCTGGCTTTTTTTTTTTTGAGGGTGGGGTGAGGATTGTTTTGATTTTTTTTTTTTTTAAGAACCATCTAACTAAGAAACCCATGGATTATGAATTTTAACAGATGGAAGGTCCAAAAATTACTCAGAGCTTACTTTGCACAGTGGTTGTCTCTTATAAGTAATACTGGATTTTATTTGTGTGTGTGTGTGTGTGTGCACACATACATTAGTATACTTATTATATACTATTGTTCTTTACTGCTAAAGCCTATATCTCCCATTGTGTGGACTATTTCATAATTATACTAAATATGCACACAGTTACATAGAAACTTATATTGCTCTATTCTTGATCCCATTATAGTCCATCTCATACTTTTTACCATGCTCTTGAGATCTTCTTGTTAGCTTAGCAAAAAATTCCTTTGAGGTCCAGGTCTCCTGGAGCAGGCCCATTGGCTGAGATATTTTATTAACAGCTTCTATTCTAACCCCTGTCTGATTGGCACTGTTACTTCACCTTATGTACCAAGTGCTTTGGTTTTAGCCTTAAGATATTTGCATTCCCTAGCTTAGCATAGGTTTCTGTGGGACAATTAAAAAAAGTAGAGAGTCCACATAGTTTTGACTACATAGTTACAAAGTTCTCTAAAACAGATGGTTTGAAAATTAATTTTATGTAAAACAATTCACCCTCAGCAGTGATACTTGGGAGTAGGATTTACATTCATGCCATTATGTTTTTATTTGTGTAGTTTTTTCTTGAGTTCTGTTATTCTTTGATGATAGTACCACAGTTTTAGAACTACTAAGCATATATATTGGTCTTACAGATACAAAATAAGTTTGCATTTCTTTTACTTAGGGTACTGTAAAGATAGCTCAGCTGGAAGAGCTGGAAGAGCACTGACTGCTCTTCCAGAGGTCCCAAGTTCAATTCCTAGCAATCACCTGGTGGCTACAACCATCTATAATGAGATCTGGTGCTCTCCTCTGGCCTGCAGGCACACATGCAGATAGAGCACACATCCACACAAAATAAATAAATAAATATTTTTTTAAAAATTGACTTGGAATTTGCTGTCCAAATTAGTTGATCAATTTCATCTGGGTAGACAGGAGCAAACAAGCTCTAGTAGCATATTTGCAATTTTGATAGATGATAATTTTGTTCAACTCTTACTTTCATATTTTAAACTTGTCACTTGAATCATCAAAGGTTTTTACCTTTATGGTATAGGTGTACTGTTAAGTTGTTCTTATACATGTATGTAAAATAATAGTAATAACTGTTCAATAAATGTAATAATTCTTCCTTCAAATGTAACAGGGTTATGTAACAAACTCACCACGAGTTCTATCTAATAACTCTTCAGAGTTACTGTTTGATCTGACCCAGGATACAGGATTATCACATTGCCAAGGGGGCCCAACACTTTCGATTACAGGTTGGTTTCATTACTTTTTTTTTTTTCCTTAAAATAGTTAAAAGAAACTTGATGAATAATCATATGGAATTACTTTCTGTTTTGAAATCCGTATCTTTGTGTGAAAGTATTTGTATATTGTAACGTGGACTGCTATAAATGGTTTTTGACGTGTCTTTTTTGAGAATGTTTTATGTAAAATCTTTGGTAAACCACATTGTACTCTTTTTTTTTTTTTTTTCCACCCTATGGATCCAACCTTTAAAATGCTTTATAACCATCAGTGAAGTAGAGAAGGCTTCAGATACTATAGACTGTTAAGAAAAATTAGTTTTATGCCCACTAGAATAAAAAAGTATGTGTTATAGTTGAATTCTTAGCTAGGTTAGTGTTTTTCTAGTTCAATAAGTGGTTTCAGTATATTGTTAAGTATGAGTTTATGGTGCTATAAAGTGGTCACAATAAAGAAATAGTTGTTATACCAGTGACATCAGGCTCAGGCACTTGCTTTCAAGTATAATGATCCAAGTTCCATCTTTGAGACCCACATAGTGGAACAAGAGAAACCACTCCTATCAAGCTGTCCTCTGACCTCCACCTGTGTGTTGCGGCATGATACCTACCAAACCCTCCCTTTCCCTGCCTTCCTCTCATAAATAAAAGGTAACTTAAAGAAGTAGTTCTTGAATGTGGTGATGTACACCTATCTCAGCATTTGAGAGGCTGTGACAGGAGGATTATTGTCAGTTTGAGGTTAGCCCGGAGTATGTACTGATTTCTAGGCCATCCTGTGTTTTATAGTGGGACTGTGGCTCAAAAACAGACAAACAAATATTAGTGACTTAGACATAGTAAAAAATGATAGAGGGGTAATGAAATTTACGTATTGAAGACTTAAAGTTCTTTTAGTTCACCTAAGTATTCTTCATTAATTTAAAATATATTAGCTTACTGTGGAGGATTTTTGTCTTAGTGACAGTTCCGTGTAATCAAGGCAAGTTAATTCTTGAACACTGGCAATTTGTATGTATTCAAGTATTCAAGATGTACAAGATACTTTGGAATGTTTACACTGTTTACTAAATAGATTAATGAGGAATTTTCCAGACTCTCTTGCTTTTTTTTCATAATAGGGCTTATTATGAAAATACCTTATTTGATAAACACATCTCTGAATGTCACTTACGTACATAGTTTACTAAAATGTTTACTAATATGTTGTTAATAAAATAGGTACAAGTGAAAAGAAACGGAGAAAAATATTTGTATTAAACCTGGCATTAGGAAGCTCATAGACTTTACTCATAGGAAATCTGCAGTCTTAAAACCTGGGAAGAAAGAACCATAAAGACTCCTATTCTTCCTCCCAGTCTTCCAGCCTCTGCTGTAGTGAGTGAGACTTCAGTAAGCAGGATAACTAGGAAGCTGTAGGTTTGAGCCTCTGATCTTGAGAATGTTTAGTCTTTATCAGATCAACCGACCTCTTCATACTTTGGATTTTTTTTTTTTTTATATTATTAAGAGATGGCACTATTCATTTTTCTTATGTAATTCATTCAGTTCTTCACACCTGGAGCAAGGCCTGAGGATATAATTTTGACTCTTGCTCTAGTTCACACAGAACTTTTTTTGATGCCCAAATTAGATAATGAAATGTGAAAAAACAAGTATCAGTGTTACTCAGTACTATTCATTTAGTAACATGATTGACAGACTGCTGTCTGTGGAGATTAAAGGGGTTTTGAATTTGACCTTGAAAGAAATCAGGACTTGTACTGGCAGAGCCTGCGAAATGAACGAGACTAAGGCTAGAGAATAGCCTAGCCTAACAAAACAGATAAAGGGACAGAACTTAAACCATATGCAGGGCTGGCTGAGATGGCTCATTCAGTTACAGCATTTGCTTCGCAGTCTGACAATCCGAGTTTTATTCCTGGAGCCTACATGAGGAGAGAACAGATTCCCAAGTTGTTCTCTTGAGTTTCACTCAGATACCATGGCTTGTAAATACCTCTACTCATATGCACACAGATAAATAAATAAATGTACAAAAGACTGGAATGAGTAGTTTTTATTTAATATTGAGATTTCTCTTGTTAAATTCTTACATCAAAGAAGTCTATTTAATTGGTTGCTTAATTCAAAATGTTGTTACTCTTTTGTTTTCCAAGTAACATAAACATTTTTTGATACCATTTTGCTACCAGAGATCTTTTTCATGTACCATCAGTGTGTCTGTCTCTGATCAAGTGTTTTGAAGAGGAAATATTATTACTTTGTCTTAAAAGATGAAATAGTGAATTATTAGTATAATCTTATTTTTTGGCAAAAAATAATGATAGGGAAATCTATTGGAATAATTTTTGCCCTTTAAAGCAAGTTAAGCTACAAGATGTTTTGTAAGTAATGAAAATTGTTACTTATTTTTTTTTCTATGTACTAAATATTTTAAAGTGCTTTGAATACATTGCTTGACCTTAAAGTAACTATAAAATGAGATGTCCTAGCTTACTTTACAAAAGCAGAAACTGAAGCTCAAAGAAATTAAATAAGAATACATAGAGATGACAGAGTCTGGATTTGAATTTAGGTTATTTTACTTAAATGCTTGGAATATCTCTAACAATATTTCTACATTTAGTGTGCAGATGGGACTATTTAATTTGTAGTTTGGGAATCCTTTTTTCAAAATACATTGTTATTTTTAAAAAAGACTTTACCATATAGTCAACTGTCTCTATTTTTCTTCCTGATATGCTAAGGTTTAATCTTTTAGCTCTATGGTGATTGCTATGATAAGGCTTAATCCTTTAGCTTTATGGTGACTTTTCAAATGGAAAATTATTTTTTTAAAAAGATTTATTTATCTATTTATTTATTATGTATGCGATGTTCTACATGCCAGAAGAGGGCACCAGATCTCATTATAAATGGTTGTGAGCCACCATGTAGGTGCTGGGAATTGAATTCAGGACCTCTGGAAGAGCAAACAGTACTCTTAACCACTGAGCCATTTCTCCAGCTGGAAAATTATTTTTAAGATTGAAATCTCAGGCTGGGCTGGTGGCACAAGCCTTTAATCCCAGCACTCAGGAGGCAGAAGTAGGCAGATCTCTGTGAATTCAAGGTCAGCCTGGTTTACAAAGTGAGTTCCAACCAAGGCTACACGGAGAAGCCCTGTTTGGAAAACAAAAAACAGAACTGAACCCCCCTCCCCAAAATACCTCTGTGTAAACAAAAATTCATGGAAACATTTCTTAATATATTCCCTAAAATGGGATACAACTCCGTCTCTTATCTGTCCTTTCATTTGAGTGTAGAAAATACTATTCAGGCATAGAATTTTCTACTTGGTATATTGAAATAAATGTGCAGTATCACAATCCGTGAAGAAATTACTTCATTAAGTGGGAAAAAAGACTAATATTGGCATTTTAGGTAGGTAAGACATTTTAGCTAAGTGAGATGGTGCACACCTTTAATCCCAGCACTAGGGAGGCAGAGGCAGGCAGATCTCTGAGTTCACGGCCAGCCTGGTCTATGGAGTGAGTTCGAAGGACTTCCAGGGCTATACAGAGAAACTCTGTCTTGAAGGGGGAAAAATGAAAAATTTTAAGGGTTTATAAATGCTTGAAATGAATTATTGTGCATGTGTGTGTATATGTATGTTGTGCAAATTTGAATGATTGGCTTTTAGGAATGTCAGAATATCTTTTCTCTGACCTATTATTTTTTTCAAGCCATATTAAGAATGTTCTTGCATAGAAAGGTAATTTTACAAATTGATTGAACAAATGCAGTCCTAAGTAAGTTTATGATATTTCCTTCCAGTCTTTTAAATTTGTGACATTTAATTTGTTTGCTTTTTTTGAGACAGGGCAGTACTGTGGAACTCTGCCTGGCTGGTGTGGAACTAGTTAGATAGACTAGACTGGCCTCAAATTCACAGAGCCTGTCTCTGCCTCCCAAATACTGGCATTAAAGGCTTGTGCCACCATGCCTACCAAAGTCATTTCATTTTTATCATTTGTATAGCATAGCTCAATTATATCTTATATTTTAGCTCCCACATATTTAAACTTAACTAGTTATGAGTAGGATTTTATAAAATTATAAAATCTTTTCCTTACTGTTTAAATCATTTTAGGTCTGAATGAAAGTTCATTTTCATCAAAACGTCCTTCTAGTTCTGACATAAGCAGTGTTAACCCAAAAAAGCCTAAACCCAGTGAAAACATTTCTGGAACAGATGCCTCTTCTGTAGTTTCTTCAGAAAAGTCTCCAATGATGTCTCTCCAGGTGGTGCCATCACAAGGTAAAAAAAGAAAGAAGTAATTTTTTTCTGGCATGTGAAAAAATTTACTGTAAAGATAAGGTTTGCAAATTCTTACAAATTAATAAACTAATAATGTTTACTTAAGTAAAAAAAAAAATGCTGAATTTGGGGCCTAGAGAGATGGTTTATTGGTTAAGGCCACTTAAAACTTTTGCAGAGAATCTGGGTTTGATTCCCAGTGCCCACATGGAGTGGGCACAACCACCAGCCAAGTCCAGCTCCTGGTGATTGTACATTCCCAGGCACCCATGGGCACCAACACAGATGTGACACTCCATAGACGTGTGCGCTCAGTAATAATGAAGACTAATTTGTAAAAACAGAGCACCCTGAAAAGTGGTTCACTTTGTTTCATGATTGATCTGAATTTATTTTAGGTGCAAATTGCTCATCAAATCAATCTAAAAATGGAACAACTTTTCCAAGAGCATGTCCCAAGTGTAATATTCACTTCAATCTTTTGGATCCTCTGAAAAATCACATGACGGTAAATCTTTTTCAAAATGTAATCTTAAAAGTCTGAAAATCCCCCAAAATATTAGTCACTGGTTTATAGTAAATGACGGTTTGTCCTAATACATTAAGAATGAAATATTTTCATATTGGATATATCCATAAAGCTTAGGTAAAAAATTTATATTCAAAAGGACTCTGTGATAGTGAAATTCATTAGTTCATATATTTACAATGTATATTTATTGTATTCTGTTTTTAAACACAATAATTTATTGATTAAATCACTCATATTTATAAAATATTTTTGTATAAACTTAGTCTTTTTATAACTTAAAAATTTTATAGTTTATATACATGCTAATATGTACATTCCACATTAGATAATGAAAGTAACTTATACATATTAATTGCCAGTATTAGATGATATTAACTTCAAATGCTCATCTTTTTTACATGAAATAATTTTATAAAGTCAATATAGCTTATGTGATTATTACAAATTAATATAAAGTTTTTATTGGGGTAGGAAGTTTTTGGCTTACATTTTAAGAAAATTTCAAAGAATTTATGAAATATGAAATTTAGATAACACTCTTCAAATATTAGCTTTTATTGTGCTCTGCTGTCTCCCTGTTCCTACTATCAATGGCAGGAAAGCAGAGGAAGATAAGAAAAACAGCAGTGTAGAGTACAAAAGGAAAGGAATGAAAGAAAAGAATTCAGTAGCAATGAGGTAATGTAGGAAGAGTTCTTGCTGTTTCAGAAACTGACAATTTTATTTATTTATTTATTTGTTTATTTATTTCGGCTTTTCAAGATAGAGTTTCTTTTTATAGCCTTGGCTGTCCTAGAACTCACTTTGTAGACCAGGCTGGCCTCCCTCAAACTCACAAGAGATCCACCTGCCTCTGCCTCCCAAGTGCTGGGATTAGTAAAGGCATATTCCACCACTGCCTGGCTACATTCTGTTTATTAAATAATAGGTGGTGGTAGCATGAGTCTTTTTTTTAATTTATATTTTTATTTATTATAGTTTATTCACTTTGTATCCCAGCTGTAGACCCCACACTCATCCTCTCCCAATCCTGCCCTCCCTTGCTCTTCTCCCATGTCTCTCCCCCAGTCCACTGATAGGGGAGGTCCTCTTCCCCTTCCATCTGACCCCAGCCTCTCAGCTCTCATCAGGACTGGCTGCATTGTCTTCCTCTGTAGCCTGGTAAGGCTGCTACACCCTCAGGGGGAGGTGATCAAAGAGCAGGCCACTGAGTTCATGTCAGAGACAGCCCCTGTTCCCCTTACTAGGGAACCCTCTTGGACACTGAGCTACTGTGAGCTACATCTGTGCAGGGGTTTTAAGTTATCTCCATGGTTGGTTGGAGTATCAGTCTCAGAAAAGACCCCTGTGCCCAGATTTTTTGGTTCTGTTGCTCTCCTTGTGGAGGTCCTGTCCCCTCCATTTCTTATATAACACAGGACTGCTTGCACAGGGTTGGCACTGTCCCCAGTAGGCAAACCCCTCCCACATCAGTCATTAATCAAAAATGTGTCACAAATTCATCTGCACTCCAATGTGATTGAGATATTTCTCAATTGAAGTTTTCTTTAGATGACTCTAGTTTGTGTCAAGTTTACAAAAAACTAATTAGGACATTTGTATGCTTCGAGAAATTAGTGATCTTTATCCTAAAATTACTTATGATTATTTTATTAAAAATTACTAATAAAAGTAATCATTTAATATTCAAATTGCATTTTGTAAAAAATAACTTATAATGTATGTATTTTGTTCTTGTATATATTCTTTAGTTCATAATGGATATATATACAGTCATCATATCTGGAAAGGGAAAGTTTAAAATCGTGGGACAGTCATTCAGTCACAAAAAGACAAACACAACACAGCATGAGCTAAAAAATGTTATCTCCAAAGGTGAAGTAGCTTATTTGAGGCTGATAAGGTTAAGGAAGAAGGGGATGGAGAAGCTGATAAGTAAGTACTGTGTTAGAGTTAGGTAGGAGGTAGGTTCTTACTCTCAAGGACACAACACTGTAGGATGAATGTAGACCAAAAGAAGCATTGTGTATCAAAAGGAGGAAAGGCTTTTCGATGTACTAATAAATGATCAAAGTCAAGGTAATGAATGTAATAAATTACTGTTATTTGACTATTACCGAATGTAAACGAGTCAAAACATCATGTTAAACTTTATAAAAATGCCAATTCTAGCCTCCACCACCCAAAAACAGTGGCTCAAGAGATAGGTAAGTGGTTAAAACACTTGCATCTCTTGTAGAAGACCTGGATTTGGTTCCTACCACCTACATGGCTGCTCATAACTATATGTAATTCCAGTTCCAGGGAAAGCCTGACACTCTAATCTGAACTGTAGGGGAACTACACACATGTGGTTCTACTGTTCTCCTTCATTCCTGAGGACCAGTGGCAGGAATAAGGGAGCAGAAGCAATGAACTGGGGGGGAAACGGGGTTCTGTGTCTTGTGAACACAAATGGAAATGACCCTCTGGGATCAGCTGCAAGGAGACAGATCAGTTTAATTTGGGTTAAGCAGAGTTATATAGAACTTTGGGAGGGGAATTTCCAGGGTGGGTGAATGTCATTGGGGTACTGAGGCGCCTCATTAGCATAGGGAACTATTTCAGGAGTCCCGGGTGCTTGTTAGATAGGTTCCGTGGGGGAGAAGGGGTGGAAGGGAGTTGGACCTGTAATTTTTTCTGAGGACTACATGACATTCCTTGGGTAGAGGGTGTGGGGTTTAAGGTCCAGATCATTAGAGAAGAAGGAGCCCTGCTGACAAAGGGTGTCATTCTTTCCTCACCGAGCCCAGTGGTGGTAGACTGTAACCGTAGCAAGCAGGGTTTCTCGACATGGTGCACATACATAAATGCAGGCAACACACACACACAATACAAATACATCTTTTAATAGAAATTTAAATTGCAGGGACTTTGAACTTTCTAGCTTGACAAGAATGACATAGAGATGGTGTCTGACAACTTGTCAAACTACAGACTATAGCACTGAAGGTATTGAGTATTTACAGAATGGCTAGCTCACAAAAATGAGGAATAAGTGACAGAGTACAGAACAGGGCTTAGAGCCAAAATGGTTTTATGACCAAACAAAGTTCTAAAGTTGATTTTGGATCCTGTGTAGTTGTGCCCTCCACACCTTACTGTCTTTATATAAAACCTAAATCTAAACTTAATCCTCATTTCTCAAGTAGTTCTTCTTGCCTATTGAATGTCTTAGGATACTTTGATTTTGCTCAAAATCAATCTCCTTTCACTGCCATTTGTTTTTTTTTATCTGTTCTTTCCTGTTCTTTTCTTTACTAAAGAGGTATTATGAACAAGGATTTTGTGCTAATTTTAAAACTCTGATCCTGCCTTTTTTGTGGAAAAAAAAATGTGCTATATATATATATATATAACGAAATTATGAAAAACAAAATGGGTTATCTATGCTATATATCTATGCTATGATATATATATATCAGCAAGTAATCTATCATCTCTTATGTAGGTTATAATTTATGAGCACGTAAGTGTAATCATTAACTTTTATAAATAGTAAAGTAGTCATTCCTTGAGAATTTAAACTTTCCATCACACTCTTACATAGGTCATTTTATAGGTTCAGAAAAGAATCACATAAGAAGTATAACATGGAGTGGCTTTTCCTGAAAGTCAGGTCTAACATTTAAGGTATTACATCATCCCATTACTAATTAGAAGACTGCATTAAAGAATTTTATAAATTCCAATTTTTCCTGTGGTTCTCTTCTCCCTTAGAGTTTTAAGGAAGGGTAGTGCTTTGTCAAAATAATGCCATTGATACACATACTCAGTATTTTAATTTCATTTCACAAATAATTTCATTCTTCCAGTCTGCCTCCCAACACCTGTTTTTCTTAATGGAATCCAGGACCTTTTGCTTGCTGGGCAAGTGCTCTATCACTGACTGGAGCCACAGCACTTGAGTGATTTTCTACAGGGTAGGGAGTTTACTCCATACAATGCTGCTTTTCCTTAAAATTCAAAGTCTTAGAAATAGCTTGATTTTTCTTTCTAATTTTGAGTTCATATATGTTACATGTACCTCAGGAAAAAGCTAGACATAAGACTGGGCTTTTAATCCCAATACTCAGAGGCAGAAGCAGGCAAATCTCTGTGAGTTCAAGGCTAGACTGGACCACTTAGCAAATTGCAGGCAGAAAGAAAAGAAAAGGAAAGGAAAGAAAGAAAATACAAGAACATAAATAACAATGCCTTTTCTTACCTCTCATTTTAATTTTTTGTTGTTGTGGTGGTGGTGGTTCCATTTTATCCAAGGAAAGAAGATCATCTAATATTTAATAGGATACATATTCTTTTGTTTTTGTTTTCTTTTTTTCCTCTAAGACAAGGTTTCACTATGTGGGAATGGCTGACCTGGAACTCACTGTGTAGACCAGGCTGTCCTTAAAATCAGGGCCCATCTGCCTCTGCATCCTGAGTGTTGGGGTTAAAGGTGTGAGCCACCGTGCCCAGCTAATACACTACTTAATTTGGCTTATGAATGTAATTTCAACTTATTAATATGTTATTTCCTCTCAGGAGTCAGTTTTATTCAATATTTTTCCTACTTCTTAGATATATTTTGAATGTTTTTTTTTTTTTCTATTTTTACTTTTATGGGTTTAGAAATTGGAAAGTGGGCTTGGAATATAATCCTGGCAATCAGTTTCTTACAGAAGTACTTGAATTTCCAGAACCCACATTTAAAAACGTCCCTGTGGTGGTTCAGCCTTGTAGTTTTTGGTGTTTCGTGCTTTTAGTTCCAAGCTAGGTTGCTAGTGCTTAAGGAATGACACCAAGGTTGTCACCTGGTCTCCATATATAAGTGCATGTCCATATGTATATACATGTGCTCACACCCATATGTATACACCTGCATTTACATGAACATGCATATTGCCTGTGTGTACACAGAAAATGTAAAAGATGAAAGTTGACAATTAAATGAAGTGGGAATGTTAGCTTGCAGAAAATGCTGCAGATCTATCTTCTATTACAGGCCTAGCTCCTCACGTTATAGTGAATGTTTCATGAGTGATCTAAAGACACGCGTGACAGAAGAGGAGGTGGATGTTGTAAATCATAGCATGGAATAATTGTGTTCCATTTTATATGTTGATTAGCACACTTAGCATTTATGTTACAGAAGAATTATCTGTGTTTCTTGTTAAAACGAACAAATGGACAGCTTTGTAGGCTTTGCAGTTTAGGTGGTCTGAAGCAGTCCCAGGAATTGCCATTTTAATGAGATCTTGAAAGATTTTCTGATAGAGGTTTTTCTAGGTTTGCCCTCAAAGAAAAACTCATTAAAAATATTCTACAACTGAACATTATGTACAGGGGCTGAGATTTAGCTTAGCGGTAGCACCCTGCGTTCAGTCCTCAGCTCCAGGGGGAAAAAAAGACAAAATAATAAACATAAGTAAATTACTTATATCTTGATTTTTAAAAGCTTAAATGGTGGTGGCTGGAGACATGGTTCATTAGTTAAGAACATTGACTGCTCTTCCAGAGGACCCAGCACCCACATGGCAGCTCACAACTGTCTGTAACTCCAAAATCTGACACCCACAGATATACATCCAGGCAAAACACCAATTGACATAAAATAAATAAATGAATGAATGAATTTAAAAAGCTTATATGGAAAATTCCATATTACAACCAGTTTCTGTGACAACTTGATTTTGTTACTGAGGAGTAAGTTTCTTCAAATATTTTAGCACTCTGGATTCCAAGATGTACCGGATGCATTTATCTTTGTATCTCAAATGTTTTCTAGTGTTGTGAGTCTAGGGAGTGGCAGTTTAGCTGTGTAGAAGTCTGCTTTTAACCACCTTAGGAAGCTTTCCTATAACCTGATACATCATAGCATGTGACACTCACTTTCCCCCTGTACTGTTGACATAGTTATGAAATGGATGGTTTTGGTTAAGAAACAAATGACTGTTAAACATGTATCTAAGCAGGCAAATTGAATGGGAAAAGTTTAAATAGCCAAGTCCTAGTCTTAAGGCTTTTTACATCTCTTTTTAAATTTTTGTTTTGTTAAGATAATGTTTATGGGCTGGTGAGATGGCTCAGCTGTTAAAGGTGCTTGCCGCCAAGGTTGACGACTTGAGTTCAATCCCTGGAACCCACATGGTGGAAGGAGAGAATCAACGTCTGCAGGTTGTCCTCTGACCTCCATAAGTGCACTGTGGCACGCACACACCCACACATAGCACATGTACTAAACAAATAAATCATCTACTTGGAAAAGATGTTTACTTTTCTCAACTTTTTAGAATATTCACCGTAGACTTTCACTATTCTTCCAGATATTTTATCAAGCATAGTTTTACGTGGTTTCGCCTTTGTTGAAAACATATTGTTTTTGTTGTTGTTGTTATTATTTTGTAATAAATAAGGTATTTTTTTTTCTTTCTAGTATTGTTGTCCAGACATGATAAGTAAATTTTTGGGACTGACTAAAACAGAAATTTCAAATACAGCAAATGAAGCTAAAACTCTTGATTCAGAGAAAGGAAAATTGATAATGTTAGTTAATGACTTTTATTATGGGAAACATGAAGGAGATGTCCAGGAAGAACAGAAGACTCACACAACCTTTAAATGCTTCAGTTGCTTGAAAGTTCTCAAAAATAATATTAGGTATGTAAATATGAATTTTTATTTCAATGAAAGTTGAAATACTAAAGATATAGCCACTGTGTCTTTTTGAAATTTTTTTTATTTATTATAATTTATTCACTTTTTATCCCAGCTGTAGCCCCCTTCCTCATCCTCTCCCAATCCCACCCCCCCCCCCTCCTCTCCTCCCCTGCCCCTTCTCCAGTCCACTGATAGGGGAGGTCCTCCCCCACTTCCATCTGACCCTAGCCTATCAGGTCTCATGAGGATTGTCAGCATTGTCTTCCTCTGTGGCCTGGTAAGGCTGGCCCCTGCCTCAGGGGGAGGTGATCACAGAGCCAGCCACTGAATTCATCAGAGACAGAGACAGCCCCTGCTCCCCATTTCGAGACTGAGCTGCCATGGGCTACATCAATGCAGGGGTTCTAGGTTATCTCCATTCATGGTCCTTGGTTGGAGTATCTGTCTCAGAAAAGGCCCCTATGCCCAGATATTTTGGTTCTGTTGCTCTCCTTGTGGAGCTCCTTTCCCCTCCAGGTCTTTCTATCTCCCCCTTCTTTCATAAGATTCCCTGCACTCTGCCCAAAGTTTGGCTACAAGTCTCAGCATCTGCTTCAATACCCTGCTGGGTAGAGTCTTTCAGAGGCCCTCTGTGGCAGGCTCCTGTCTTGTTCCTTGTTTCCACCCCCTTCTGATGTCTATCCTGTTTGCCTTTCTGAGTAAGGATTGATCATCTTACCCAGGGTCCTCCTTGCTTAGCGTCTTTAGGTGTATACATTTTAGTATGATGATCCTATATTATATGTCTAATATCCACTTATAAGTGAGTATACACCATGTGTGTCTTTCTGTTTCTGCTTTCTCAGAATGATCTTTTCTAGTTCCCACATTTGCCTGCAAATTTCATAATTTCCTTGTTTTTAATTGCTGAGTAGTATTCTATTATGTAAATGTACCACAATTTTTGTATGCATATAGTATTCCATTGTGTAAATGTACCACAATTTTTGTATGCATTCCTTAGTTGAGGGACATCTGGGTTGTTTCCAGGTTCTGGTTATTACGAGTAAAGCTGCTATGAACATGGTTGAGCAAATGTCCTTGTTGTATGCCACTATGTCTTTATCATTACTCTCTTGATATTCTAGATAAGCAACTTCAGTATTTTCTCCTTTGTTGTATTTTCAAATTCCTCCATAAATCTGCTGCTTTGTCTTTCATATGGCTTAAGAAAGGACAGAAATTATTTTAATTTGAAAAAAATAAATTTATCTTTTGATAGTGAGATAGAATTTGTATATTTTTAATTGTCTTAGGTCTCTGAATATTATTCTTTCACAATACAAGAAGTACTTCTCCAGAGTTTTCCAGGTTGACATCCTCCTTATTAATACTATTTAATGCTCAAATCTTCTACTTTATATTTATCATCTTTATAATATATATATCTTATGGGACATGTGATGTTTTCTAGAGATATATTAATTTCAGGAGACATGTCTATTTTAATTTTAAAATTTAAATAAAAACTAGATATTTCATTCTCAATGGAATTTGGAATTTTTTTAAATATACAAATGTTTTAAATTTTAGAAATTTATACTTTGTAATTTTTGAGTGTCATGTTATAAAAATACCACCTGTAAGAACAAGAAGACATACTGACTGATGGTTTTCATTTATTATATAGTCTAAGTTTTACATATTATTAGATTTCTACCCTTTTTCATTAAAGGCTTACAAATATACATCAAAAATTTTAAAGTTTTACATTGGACCCTTACAACCTTTCTTCTACTCTTTACCTCTTTTTTTGTTGTGTTGTTTTGAAGACAGGGTTTCTCTGTGTGGCTTTGGCTATGCTGGACTCACTTTGCAGATGAGGCTAGCCTTGAAATCCCAGCGATCCGCCTGCCTCTGCCTCTCTGAGGGCTGGGATTCTAGGCGTGCACCATGGCGCCCAGTTTAACCTTAACTCTTTACTGTACTGGTTTCATTGTTTTTATTTTTTAAACAGTCTGATTTTTAAAAATTAATTAAGTTATTGATTAAAAACTGATATTTTAATACACATTTTAAAATAAGTTACAGATATGAGTGTACTTCTTTTAGTTGTACTTCAGAAGTGGATGTGCGACAGAGAGGGAGGAAATAATTAAAACACATATAAAACTCAACTCAGAAAATGAATTAAAAGAAGATGTGCACAAACACACATACTTATGCATATCTTTCAATTTACTAAAAATCTTGTGGATTTGCATTTTATACACCAATAGTTTATTGAGCCCAGAGTTCATTCACTTTTCTCTCTTGTGTGGCTTGCTGTTACAGGGATGCTCATGGGTTGTTTTTACATTCCAAAGCTCATACACCACTTCACCTCCTTCAAGAACTAATGGTCCCAGTAGTTTAACAGGGAGGTTGTGCTTTGGATGTAATGCTAAGGCAGTCTAGAAGTAGACCTCTACCACCTAGTTCCATATTCTTAACATTACAGCATTCAGTCAGGACATAGGATGTAACGAATGTGAGAGGCTTTCAATGTCTTCATTTCTTGTTAACTGTGATTCATGCAGCAATTTATTTTAGCAAAAGTATTTTTGTCTTTTACTTTTAAGATTATCCCATTTAATATTCAACATGAAAAGTAACTTTTTCTAGGAGTTATTTCAGGACATTAGTTCTATTTGTTTATATTATTAGAATATTTAGAAAATTTAAGCCTATTTAGTAACATACAGAAACTGAACATTGAAAACTTACTTGTAAAGTGTATCCTTAATGGGGTAAACACCTCATGACCAAAGGAATTATATTATTTTGCCCTAATTTTTGTCAGTAAAATCTGAGAAGGCAAATTTTTGTTTTGTTTTGTTTTTTGCTTTTGAGATAAATTCTCACTATGTAGCCCTGGCAGTCCCAAAACTCAGAGAAAGATCTGCCTTCCTTTGGCTGTTAGGTTTTAGGATCGGTGTGTGCCACTGTGCCTGGCCTTGCAGTTGTTTATAATTTATATAATGGTACAAAATATATCAAGATTTCTGTTCTGACTTGTCATACAGGTTTTTTATTACTATTTTCTCCCCTATTTGGGTCACTAAAAACAGGTCATTGAAAGAAGTTTGCATTTTTTTTCCCCTGTTCCCATATACTGGCTTGAGAACTATGCATTCCAGTTAGGCATTATGTAAACATTGAGAGAAATCAACTAGCTGGTTAATTCACTACTTTACATAAATATACTTCAGTGCTTCAAGGTGTGAGCTGAAAATTTACTGGCTCATGCTATTTTGCCTATATGTAAATATTTAACCAAGTCTAGAGTTTTATGCAGGTGTTTATAGAGCTAGTATTAAAACCAAAGGGGGGAAAGGGTATTTCCAAGTATATTACAACTTGCTTTGAGGAGATACTGTTCTTTAGAGCTAGGAGAAAGAGATACATGTCACAGCCTTCATGATGACTCTTCTCTGGATTGATAACATTATCATATAGTTATTTCCTTTGAAGCCTCAAACTGAATGATTTTATTAATAGTTGACCCACTCTAAAATTTATTTGATGAATACTACTTTATAATTCGGCCAAAAGCTTCAGTAAGTTCTTTTAAATAGGTATTCTCATTTATGTCACACTCTGCACTAAGGGTCACAGTTGTGCTTATAAGAAGCCTTGCAGGGAGGCCGAAATAGCAAAGTGTAAAACTGAAAAATGGAGATTGCCTTAGAAAGGACACAGTGTTACGTTAAAATGAACAGTTTATGCTAAGAGTTAACAGTATCACTAAGTAAGTGAAAAGTTCTTGTAATTACAGGCATTAAAACTGCTATTATATGCATTTAAAAACAAAGATACAAATAAAAAATACTAGTAGCTAGAATTTATTGTATATCTTCAGATTATTAAAGGATTTTTCCCATGACTAGTTGCTTTTACTGATAGGTTTCTATTTCTTTAAGTATTATAATTTACAATATAAATAGTACTTCCCATGGCATAGAAGTCAGTTATTTTATCTAAATCCAGCCATCTGAAACTAGTAATATTTGAAAAGAAAATGAAAAAACAGGTGTCTACGTAGAAAACTTCAGATCACTATTTAGAATATGCACTTTCCTAGAGAAATTGAATTCTCTGGATTTTGAGTAATACTCACTTTTTTTTTTTTTTTTTAAATAACAGTGGGTTCAGGTATTGGTGAGATTCCCTTTGAGTATTTTAATTTGAATCTTTGCTGACGATCTTTTGCAGGTTTATGAACCACATGAAACATCATTTGGAACTTGAGAAGCAGAGCAGTGAGAGCTGGGAAAAGCACACCACGTGCCAGCACTGCTACCGCCAGTTCCCCACTCCCTTCCAGCTGCAGTGCCACATTGAGAGCACGCACACCCCTCATGAGTTTTCCAGTGAGTGACAGCTCCGTCAGTGTCGCATGTTCCTAGGCTTGACGAGTCAAGCTCAGCAAATCTTGAAAAAACTGTTAAAAGAAATAAGAACAGGAAATAGGCTGAATTTGGGGGGGCAAAACTCTAACTTGCTCCAGCAGCTTCAGTTCAAATCCCAGATGTGTGTCTTTTTATAGCTACATGAATTTAGGCAGGTTCTTTGGTGAGGCAATAGGATAACAGACATGCCTTCATGGTGGTGCTTAAAGGAGAAATTACACTGAGTGTTGTATGCTCTACCTCCACCACTGCCACTTCCACAGACATACTGTTGATACTGCTATACAAAATGAGCCTTTCTATTTTTTAATTAAATTTTTATTTTTTAGTATTAGTTACAGTTTATTAACTGTATCCCACTCCCTCATTCCCTCCCAACCTCACCCTCCCTTCCCCCATCTTCTCCCTGCCCCTTTCCACGTCCACTGATGGGGGAGGACCTCCTCCCCTTCTATCTGACCCTGGTTTATCAGGTGAGCCTTTATATTTATGTATTTAAACTGTTGTAATACTTTTCTTTCTCCTGTTTATAGCCATTTGTAAAATCTGTGAGCTGTCATTTGAAACTGAGCAGATTCTTTTACAACATATGAAGGATAATCATAAACCTGGTGAAATGCCATACATCTGCCAGGTACATCGTGTTTTACAGTGTTATTAACTGTTTGTTTGTTATTTGGGTGTTAAGATTTGTGGGTTTTAGATAAGTTGTTAGTATTTTTTTTTTTTTTAAGTTATGGGATCAAGGGGTGAACATTTAGCTCTGTCACAGCCAGTCAACTCTCCATTACGGCAAGTCAGCAATGATAGTAAGAGAATGAATGGATGTGTCTGTGTTCTAATAAAACTTTATGGACTTCAAATTTTGAATTTCATATAATTTTCATGTGTAGTGAACCACATTGATGTGTTTTTTGCCATTTAGGTAAAAATGGTAGCTAAAATTAAAGTCCCTTCTACTTAATTTACTAGTGTAAAGTGTCTTGGCATAATTCCTGTGAGGGGAAGACTATGAACTAGATTTGGCCCAAAGGCTGTTGTTTGCTCCCTAGCACTGGAAAGGGAAGAGCCCTGACCGAAAAATAGATGTGAATTTACTTTACCCTAGAAGATAGTGCAGCCATGTGACCAACATACACATGCTTAGTTATATAATACTCTATTGAGGACTTTGGGACAAGTATTTCTTCAGAACCCGAAGGAATGAGAGAGCAAGAAAAAGATGATATGCCACTGTCATAGTTTGGAGGCAGGATTTATAATCTGACAGGGAGTGTTTTATGTAGAAATGAAGTATTTTATAGGACAGAAAGTTCCAGAGCTTTCAAACTCAAGACAGGGTGGGCTGATAGAGAAGTGATCTGATAAAAATGAAAGTACCTTTTACATTTTGAGGAGCAGTCTTTAGTTCTGAAGGATCACTTTTGTCTGCCTTTTTGGTGTCTGCATTAGTGAGCCCCTTACATACATAGGCATCAGAGATGGATTGATAGTACATAATCTAACAAATGAGCTACCATTGTTACTTTGTAGTTGCAAATCAGTTATAGACTTTCCATTTAAACATAACCTTTTTGTTTCTAGGTTTGCAGTTACAGATCATCATTATTTTCTGATGTAGAATCTCATTTTAGAACATCGCATGAAAACACTAAGAATTTGCTATGTCCATTCTGCCTCAAAGTTATTAAAATTGCCACACCCTATATGCATCATTACATGAAGCATCAGGTGAGGTTAATAATTTCTACCTTTTCATGTTATCTGATTATTACTCAATGTTGTTTGTTCTTCAAAGGGAGTAAAGTTGTTCCACATACACAAATTTGTGCTGAACCACGTGTGAAACTTCCTACACTTCTTTCCTTACTTCTTTTCCAGTGAAAGTTGGTTTATAAATGGTGACAAGTCTTAAAGATGCCAAGAAATAGGAAGACTAAGATTGAGATAAAAACAGAAAGCAAATGGAATATGGGAAAGATTGGCTACGTCAGGGTTTTAGTTGGTATGGGAATGATTTTGAAGTATTCTCTCAGGAAGAGGTGAAAAATTAGTTTGAACTGAGAAAGAATCAAGATAGAGAATTCTTAATCTTATTTTTCTCTGTCTTGAATTTTTCCCCTTGTCCAAACCCCTGGTATTATGATAAGTCACATTGTCATTATTAACCTAGATTAAGGTTTTATAGTTAAATGACAAAGAAAACAAGTGTTCAGTTAAAATTTGAACTCTGCCAGAACATAGCTTGTTTTCTGAATGGCTTTTGCTGGCTTAGATCTGATCATCATTCGTTGTTGAATCCTTCCTTGCATTTTTTTATGTCATACTTACTGGTTCTTTTCCTGAAGCAATTAAATTATCCTTTGAGCTAAAAACATGGCTGCAACACTGAAAGCTGTCTTTAGCAGTCATCCTTTTGTTGCAATAAAAAAAAAAAACTCATGTCTGCACTGGATCTGACTGTGTTGTCGGGTTTGCTAGTCTATTTGTGCTTTATTGTGTCAGCACGCCAGGTATTTCCCATTGTTAAGTGCCTGTCATGTTCAGTTAATTTCAGTTCATGAAATCAACTTCTGGGTTTTTTATTTTAGTTTGTTTGGTTTTTGTTTTTTTGAGACAGGGTTTCCCTGTGTAGCTCTGGCTGTCTTGGATCTTGCTCTGTAGATCAGACTGGCTTTGAACTCACAGAGACCCACCTCCTTTTGCCCAAAAGTACTGGTATTAAAGATGTGCGTGTGGTTAACTTGTGTGTTTAATTGTTAGAGAACATAAAAGTAGAATTTTCCAATGAATTTTGAGTCAACTGTGTTATTGCTGTGATTCTACTCATCCTAGCAAGATCTTCTATTCTAGAATCTGCTTAAACATTGTTCCATTGGTTTTTCATACATTTTTTTTTCCTCAGATTTTGTTACTGGTAAATTTGACAACTGCCAGGTTTATAAAATTAAAGAGTTTTGTCTCTTAAAATAGGATTTCTCAAAATTTAAAAGTATAGTATTATTACTTTTCAGTTTACTTGGCCAACAGACTCTTTATTTGAGGAATAACTGTTATTGAATCTTTATAAACAGAGTTCAGAAGACACTATTCATACCCTGTTTCATCTTTCAGTTTTAATTTTAAAAAGGAGAGTAGATATAAAGAAATCTCTTATTTCATTATGAGGCTTTTAATCTTATTTGCTCACATACTTCACCTAGTTCTTGAGTAAGACACAGTTATAGGAATGAGGATATATGGACCCTGTATGCAAGCTATGTAATTTATTAAGTCTTCACAACTAAAGTTGTCTTAACTTGTCACAGGTGTTGGTTTCTTTGTTCGGAGTACCTGTAGGATAGTCATCAGTAAATAGGGGGCACGATGTTAGGCAGAAGGATCAAGAATCCTTCAGCTTATTTACAGTATTTATGAGACACTGGAAATCATAAATGATAAAGAGATGATAAAATTGAAATTGAAAGTATATTACTAATGCACTGTTAGATTTTAAGAACAGTTGGTTTTGTGCCTTTAGTGTTTTCTGAGGACCTTAGATGTTATTTTTTTAGAAGATTCATTATACCAAATAATAATTATTGTATTTGTGTATGTGCGTGCGTGCACACACGCTAAGAGGCCAGAAGAGGGCATCATATGTTCTCCTCTGGTACTGTGCCTATTCTTTTGAGGCGGGTATCCTGCTAATCCTGAGGCTTTCTCGGCTACACTGGAATCTAGCAAGCCCAAGGGATTCTCCTACCTCTGCTCCACTCAGAGCTGGCAGTACAGGTATTTGCAGGGTGTTATATAGTGGCTGCTCCTCATCCACCCAGCCATCTCTCTAGCCTCGCCAGCTGATTTTATAACTAACAACCCAGCTCATGTCACTGTTGTTGTTTGGTTTTTGAGAGAGGATTTCATGTAGCCTAGATTGGCTTTCATTCTGTGGGAAGAATAGGGAACAGAGGATAGAAGGGGAAAAACACAGAACTTTTTTTTTTTTTTTTTTTATCACAGTGAAATCAATGTCTTGGACCAGTGTGGTAGTGATGTTTGGCGATAAAAACAAGAAGAAAGTGTGTTTGACAGATTTTATTATATATTGCATGTGGAGTGTGAGGGAGTAACTACTTTTGGCCTAAGCAGTTACAAGAATGAAGTTTTTATATTCTGAACTACAGAAAAGACTAAAAGAAGATCTGAATTGAAAGGATGGAGGCAGGGAAATAGACATGAAATCTATCATTTATTTTTGTTCATGCTAATTCGAAAAGTATATTAGACATCAAGGATATCTTGGTTTTTTTATTGCTGTGATAAAACATAATGACCAAGGCAACTTATAATAGTGTCTAATTGGGCTTACATAGTTTCAGAGGGTGGAGTCCATGATGGAGGACCAGCATGGGAACAAGTAGTAGGTGTGTTGGTTTGAGAACCTGAGATCCACAATAGGAGGCAGAGACAGACAGACAGACAGGCTTGAGAGACTGCCTGCTCATGTAAACCACAAGGGGTAGTATTAAATACATGAGTATATGGTATTTAAAGTTGTATATTGAGATCTTAGTGATTATAGAGAAAAACATTCTGGGAAATGAACCCATGTGAACTGTCTTTTTAGCTTGTTTATTTTCTGATTCTTGGCTGTATTTTCTGTTTTAATTCATCCTCTTTAAGTATGTAATAAGTAGATTGGAATTGCCTGCATCTGTGGAAAAAAAACAAAACAAAACTAATGAACCATACTTGTAAAGTAATCTTAAAATGACGCTTGAACTATAAGATCTTACTATTAAATACTACTTTGAACATTGTAACAGTTTTTTGTTCTTTTAAAATACTGAATCTTATGGAAGAAGGGGGAGGCAGAAAGACCTGAAGGGGACAGGAGCTCAACAAGGAGAGCAACAGAACCAAAAATATATGGGCCCAAGGGGTCCTGCAAAGACTGATACTCCAACCAAGGACTATGCATGGAGAGGACCTAGACCCCCTGCTCAGATGTAGCCCATAGGCAGCTCAGTCTCCAAGTGGGTTCCCTAGTAATGGGGACAGGGACTGTCTCTGACATGAACTCAGTGACTGGCTTTTTGCTTACCTCCCCCCTGATGGGGGTGCAGCCTTGCCAGGCCACAAAGGAAGATGATATAGTCAGTCCTGATGAGACCTGATAGGCTAGGGTCAGATAGTCCCTATCAGTAGACTAGGGGAGGGTCATTGAGGGTGAAGAGGGAGGGAGAGTGGGACTGGGAGGAGATGAGGGAGGGGCCTACAGCCGGGATACAAAGTGAATAAATTGTAATAAATAAATAAAAATAAAAATTAGGGCTGGAGAGATGGCTCAGAGGTTAAGAATACTGACTGTTCTTCCATTGGTCCTGAGTTCAATTCCCAGCAACCACATGGTGGCTCATAACCATCTACAGTGAGATATGGTTCTTCTTCTGGTATGCAGGCAGAACATTGTGTAAACAATAAATAAATAAATCTTTAAAAAAAAACAATTCTTTAAAATAAAATAAAAATTAATACAAAAAACTTTTAAAATGTGTGTGGGTATTGTGCCTGTATTTAAGTCTGTGCACTGTGTGAATGCCTGGTGTCTGCAGAGGCCAGGAAAGGGTTTCTGTTGGGTTCCCTGAAACTGGAGTTACAGATGGTTGTGGACCACCATGTTAGTGATAGAAATTGAACCTGGGTCCTCTGGAAGAGAAACCAGTGCTTTAAATTAAGTCATCTCTTCAGCCCCTCTTTTAAAATAGTATGTTGACTTGTAAGAAATGTACTTTTTGTGGCATACAGTGTGATTGTTTGGAATAGTTATACAGTGTGCTATCAGCAGGTCTGAGTAATAGCATTTCCCCAAGTTCTTTAATATTGCCACTTCTTTGTACTCAGTAATCATGGGTGATTAATGGCTACCATGTTGGACAGCCAGAGAATATTTTTTTCCTATAGGAAATGTATTGACTAATACTGCTTTCATTCTTAAAAAGCATCTAGTTAAATTTATTTGGTTTTAGAGAGGTCATTGTATCCACTTATAGACCAATAGGAAATAGCAAAAACTTAAAAATAACATTTGAAAAATTGTGTGTGTGTGTGTGTGTGTGTACATGCTAGAAATTGAACATGGGTCTTCTGGAAGAGCAATATGAGCATTTAACTGCTGAGCCATCTCTCTAGCTCCCAAATGACATTTTATTTCCGACATAAAAATGTAATATAACTATTGTTCACAATATCAGGTCTTTAAATGCTTACCTTATAACTAAAGGAAACTTCTAATTGTTAGGACTCTCTTGGTTTTTTGAGTCAGGTCTCACTATGTAGTTCTGGCTGTTCTAGAACTTGCTCTGTAGACTAGCCTGACCTCAAACAAAGGTCCACCTGTCCCTGCCTACTTAGTGCTGGGATTAGAGACATGTGCCACCATACCTGACTGAACCTGTTTTTACAGCAGGTTAATAACACAAAATCATTGGTATTGTCTATTCTACTAATGTATTATTAAAATTAAGTTCAGAACTTAGGATTTATGGCTATAGAAATTATTTTTCTTTTTTCTAATAGAAAAAGGGAATACATCGTTGCACCAAATGCAGACTGCAGTTTTTGACATGCAAGGAGAAAATGGATCATAAGACTCAACATCACCGAACATTTGTAAAACCCAAACAGCTAGAAGGACTGCCCCCTGGAACAAAAGTACGTTCAAATGCATGGTTTGCTGCCATTGTATACTAAGAACTAACTGCTGCCTAGTTTTATCTATGGAACAAAATGTTAGAAAATGACTTGATTTTTATTAAGTCTAATTTTAGATTTTATTGCTTTTATGCATAGAAAGAAAACCATCTAACCATTGTTTTGAGTTTTGTTTCGAGTGTTTTGAGTGTTGGGTATATTCTGTCATAAAAAGTGCAGTTAAATAAACTCCCGTGGTCAGTGGGTCGTTTCAATATTGTGTGGCTGCTTGAGCTTCTCTGGTTAGTAATATATGTATTAGTTTTAATGTTTGTTATCAGGAATCATATTTTTTTTTCATTTATTTTTGTATCTCCAGCATCTTTTAGAGTGCCTAATGCTACAGGTTCTCAGATGTTTGTTGAAGTTGTTATTGCTGAGTCTACTCTCAATGAAGCAAATTCTGCTGCTGGACAGCATTGTGAGCAAACACTTGTCTGACTGTAAATTGATGATTGTAATTTACTGTTCCCTTTTTGCCTTATATATACCTGTTTTCTCTGACTTCTTTATATACAGTCAGCTCTTGAATATTTGCTCCAGTGGAGGGAAAACAGAGGCATGGATAATCCAATGTGAAACAGTTCCCCAAACATTTATATTTGCCTTTGGGTACTTACCTTTGAATGTGGGTATGTCTTTTATTTAAATTGACTAAATAATGCAAAGCCATGCTCTGAAGACTTAGGGCAAGAGGAGCTAGCCAGCATCTTTCTCTGCAGTCCCTTCGTTTCATGCTGGAACTACATATGCAGAATACTAATGTAAACAGTATAGTCCTCTCTCATTTCTTCCCAAATTAATAGTAATAATATTAATGATACTAAATGTTTTTCCAACACCTTAGAATGACCTAATTCTAAGTGTACTTTTTCATATATTCTATTACTTAATTCATACAGCAGTAAATGATATAATAAAGCCAGTGTTAGTCTATGTGATAGATAGGAAGAGGCTTAAGATGCTGTTACTTTTGCAAGGTCTAGTAGCTAGGAAGGCAGATTTAACTTCAGATTTTTTTTAACTTGGTCCACTGTTTTGTGTATTACACAAGTACGTGTGTTAATAGGACTTCATCATTGGCTGTTCCTCAGGTGTGAGGAGAGTGTAGTCAAAGATTAATGAAAATGTTGGTAGGTGATTGCATTTTCATTGTCAACCAACACATGTAACAAACAGAAAATGTTGTTCTGAACAGTAAATAATAAACCTTACTGTTTATAAAGACTCTTAAATGCTATATTCTCCTGATAGTGTAATGAATTGATACAACCACTTGCATAAATTCTAGGCAGTGTGCTGCAGAAAGAACAAGTCACTTGTGCTGTAGATTTTCGTTTGATACTAATAACTTCAAAGGTTAGCAGGCTTTTCTAGAGGGTTTTTTTTGTTTTGTTTTGTTTTTGTCTTTATTAAGTTTTAGGCTCTGTGTTTGGGAATAACTTTTAGTTATATCAGAGTGTAAATATAAGTATGCAATGTGATCTTTGAATTAATCTTATTTATTAAATAGCAATGTTAACATGCAACTGATTATGATATGAATAGTTATTTTAACTGAGTTAATTTCATTTCATTGGTTGAATATTTAAGGCAAATAGATGACTATACCCAGTTTATCTGTGCTTTTAAAAAAAATACTTACTAAACAGCTTATTTTATAGAGTGATTATTTTTTAAGTAAATATTTTTCATCACTTTGTAGGTTACTATTCGCGCTTCAGTTGGACCCGTTCAGTCAGGATCTGCAGTCACACCTTCCATCAGTGCCAGCACTTCCACCCTCCAGCTCTCACCTCCACGGACTGAAAATATGACTGCCAAAAATCCCATGAAACTGAATATAAGTACACCAAACACAGCTGTATCCGATCCCAATAAACCTAATGAAAGCAAGCCTAGTGGAAATAAATCTAAAAACAGGTCAAAAGTCTCTAATATGCAGAAGAAACAAAGCACTTTGTCTAATAGTAATAGAAAAAGTAAAGTGAATACAGCATTGAGGAACTTAAGGTATTGATGTACTTCTGATCCACATTCCCAGCTTAAACTCAACTATAGCAACAATTTATTTAGTACTGTGCCCCTCTCTGTTTTTGTTTTAAAATATCTTTTTTATGTTTCCGCAAGGTTACGTCGTGGTATTCATGAGTGTATTGAGTGTTCTTCTGAAGTAAAGGATTTTGCAAACCATTTTCCTACATATGTCCACTGTAGTTTTTGCAGATACAACACTAGCTGTAGCAAAGCCTATGTAAATCATATGATGAGGTAAGATGAGTTAAATCAGTGGTTTTTTACCTATTATAATTACAATTGAAGAAGCTTTTGTTTTGAAAACAAATTATCTGTCTCAGAAGACTGGTAGTGTTTTCTGTTATGATAAAGCAAATCAAGAAATTATCGTATGAAGTGGTTAATTAAACCAATGAAATTAAGATAGATTTGTTAGAGGAGTAATTATTCTGTTGGCTGTCCCCCTAAAATATTTAAGAATAGTTATTTTCAAACAAATATAAATATTTTAAATATTAACTGACAAGTCCATGTAATCTCGTGGCTGTCATTCTCCTCAAAGAGACTTGAGGATTTTCAGTGATACGAGGAACGCCATTGAGTTTGTTTGCTCCCCACCACCTTTCTCTGCAATCCATCTGTTTGTCTATCCCCGAAGCTTTATGTGCTTATGTCTGCTCAGTGAATGTCCTGATGCCACTGTTGGAATTCTTTTCATTAATGCATTCATTCTGCATTGGGTACCTGCCATTTGCTCTGTGATAGATTAATTCTCATGAGCTACATTTAGATATTATTATTACTATTATTGTTATTGCTCTTATTGACATGTTGTTCTTCTAGGGTGGATATTTAAAAAATATATCTTTTAAGATTTTTGTTTCTTAAAAAAACAATTTTGTGCCTATTTATGTGTAGGTGTATATCTGTGTGAGTGTGTGCCATGGGTCCTGTGGGTAATAGAAACTGAACCTGAGTCCTCTGAGGAGAAACAAGCACCATCGATTTTTATTTTTAAAGAGTAGTCATAGTAGCCAGCCATGGTGGCATGCACCCTTAATCCCAGCACTCAGGGAGGCAGAGGCAGGCGGATCACTTTGAGTTCGAGGCCAGCATGTTCTACAAAGTGAGTCCAGGACAGCCAAGGGTACACAGAGAAACCCTGTCTGAAAACACCAGGAAAAAAAATAGTCATAATGGTCCCCATTTAAATAAAGCTGATATATTGCTTATTCAGAATGATGCTGTTGTGATTGTTAGTTTGTTTGTTTAATAGAATTCACGTATAACTGAGTTTCTTTAGGTTGTAGCCTGGCTTTCTTGTTGCTTTTTGATTATTACCAGATACTGCTTTCAAAGCTCATCCAACCTTTCTAGGTGGCTTCAGTACTTTTCCCAATTTTCTGTCCTTGGTGGTCAGCCTGGCTTTCTGCTACAGTCCCAGAACTTACATCGATGTTTAAGTCCCATTTCTTACCTAATAGGACCATTTGAATACCTTCCTACATGTCATTCCTTTGAATTCTCATTAATCTATGATATTCAGCATCTATTAAGCTCTACTATCACTGTATCATCAGTCATTATTTTCAATCCTTTATGTTTTTTCATTTACTTGTGCTTCCAAGTGTATCTCAAATTTTTTTTCTCTTTCTCTGAATAATGGTGTTGGAATTTTTACGGGAATTGCATTAAGCCTGTATTGTATATTGGTGTTGGTAAAACAGCTATTTCACAATATTAATTTTTCAATTCATTAGCATGAAAATTCTTTCCATCTTGAGGTTTCTTCCTCAGTTTCTTTTGTTTCAAAGTTTTCATCAGAAAGGTCTTCCAGCCCTTTTGTTATGTTATTCCAAGGAGGTTTTTGTTTGTTTCTTTAAGGCTATTAGGAAGATCAGTTCTTAGTATGTTTCCATTCTTTTTTTTTTTTTTTTTCCAAAGGAAGATGGTTCACTGTGTAGCACAGATGGGCTACACACCTATAATAAATAAAATAAATAAAAGGTTTTTTCCCCTTTTTATTAATGTACAAAAGTGTGGAATTTGTGTTTTAAAATTAGATATTATAAAGAGAGGCAATATAAATTATTTATAGCTAGAGGTCAGAAACCTAAAAAGTTATCTTTTTTTTTTCTTGGTTTTTTTCAAGGTAGGGTTTCTCTGTGTAGCCTTGGCTGTTCTGGAGCAGGCTGGCCTCAAACTCACAGTGATCTGCCTCCCTGGGTGCTGGGATTAAAGGCGTGCACCATCATACCCGGCTTATCAGTATTTTTATGGTGCAAATTGTAGACATACTTGAAAGCCATCAGAAATATCTTGAAGTAATTTTAATCTCACTTTCCTAATAGGTAATAAAGCAAAAATGGTATTCTTGTCTTAAGAAAAATTATTTTTTAGTTTTATTTTTAAGGTAGTATTTGATTCGTTTATTTTATGAATCAAATCTTAGATTTGTTCTACAAAGAAAACAATTATATATGCAAACTTTTAGAATTAATTTTGAGTCTTCTTAACATCTTGTTGAATTAAAAAAAAACTTATTTTTGTGGTACCATCATATATATACATGTAAATTCTTTTCTAATACTTCCGCTCTGGCTGAAGAAATAACCATTTAAATGTTTCTGAGAATAAGAAATCTTTGGAGAGTATTTCCTAAGTTTTCAGCTGCTCAGAATTTTTTTTTTCTGCATATGTAGCTTGTGTTATCTATAACAGTTTAATTGGGCTTACATTGTAATCACTGACAAAGTTTGTTAAAGCTCCACTGCCAAAGATCAATTCAGTAAGTTTGTGTGTACCCTGAGACTTTACATGTCTAAATGAGTTCTCTGGGGACTCTGGTGCTGTTTTGTGTGATTTCCCTTTTATAAATAACTGTGCTAAACCAGCCCTGGCTTTCTAGTACAAGACAAAATTAAAAGGGCCTATGAAACCTATAATCATAAAGCTAAAAGTATGGTTGGTGAGCTTTACTGTTCTGTGCTGACAGGAGGCTTTATAACTATGGAGTCTTTATTTTCATTCTGTTTTTAATTTGCTGCTGGTGATCTCAAAGACCTCCATTGAAATATTTGACTTTAAACATATAAATAGTAGCCTTTAGTTTAAGTAGTAATTACTTCTGTATCATTTGAACTTTTTGAAATTCATTTCCATCATTTGAATCTCTTCAATCTATGGAAGCATGCTAAGACTAAAATGGTAAATTACTGATAACTGTCATTTATCCTGAATATATCATTAACATAATTTCAATTTTGTTTTTAATATTTAATAGATTAGAATTTAATTAAATCTTCTGTACAATTTTATGTAACAGTGAAGTATTGATCGTGACTATGCTTAGGGAAATAGATGTCAATAGAGGAAATAAAAAGATATATCCAAAGAACTGGCATGATAGCTTAGCAGTTAAGAGCCACTCCCAGTACCTAGGTGGCAGTTTACAATCTCTGTAATGTCTGTTCCAGGAGATTCAATACCTTCCTTTGGCCACCATGGGCACCAGGCACACACATGGTGCACAGACAGGCAAAATGTACATACACATTAAAAAAGTTTAAGACAAAACAATACCAGGATATATTCACATATGGTGGTGCACACTTTTAGTTGAAGCTATTCAAAGGTTGAAGTAGGAGGCCTCTTTGGCCTACAAGTTTGAGACCAGTATATGAGATCCCATCTTGAGGCAGGGGTGTGTGGATATAATAAACAGAAATGAGAGCAATATTCTCATTGTGATATTTTGTTAAAAAATAAAAATGAGTATAGACGTGAAATGATTTTATAATTCAGTGTGACTTGCTGTCCAGTACAAGTATTATAATCATTTTTTTTCTTTCCAGCTTTCATAGTAACCGTCCAAGTAAAAGATATTGTATATTTAAGAAGCATTCAGAAAATCTCAGGTAAATAAGTGATTTTGGCAAAATCTTTTTGTTGAACAATGATTGAAATTTTTTTACTTATGTGATAATGCTGTTAAGGCTAGAATCCACAAACTGTGTAATTACTTCTCCTGTTGCTATGATGCAGATAACTGACATACACCTTAAGGAGGGAAGAATATATCTTTACTCAGTTCAAGGGTACAGTGTGTTGTGGGTGGGAGGTCAGGTGGCAGGAGCTCGAGGGCCTGATTCCATTGTGTCTGCAGTCGGGAAGCTGAGCCTGATGAATACTGTCGCTTAGCTCCCTGTCTTGTCTTTATTCTAAGACTCCAACCTGTAGAGTGGTGTACCTACATTTACAGTGGACCTTCCCCACTCAGCTCACCTAGAAACTCAGCTTCAGACACGTGGGGGTTTGTGTCTTAAATCCCAGCAGGTTACACATGTCATATCTCCATGCGTTCAACATGTAATCCTGATAAATTTTAGTATGTTCAGTTATGCATCAGTCATCATAGTATGTGTACATTTTCAATACTTAAAAAAAAAAACAAAACCATTCATTAGTAGTCATTCCCAGCTCTCTTCAACTCTGCCCATCTCCAAGCAACTGTAAATGTATAAATACACTTTGTATTGGTGTAGACTAGCCCATTCTGGGTGTTTTGTAAATAAGGGGATGATATTCTGTGTGGTCCTTAGTGACTGCCTATATCAAGGTTCATCCATGGTGAAGAATATGTCAATACTAATTTAAATTGATGAATAGTACTTTATTTTACTCTTGGACATATCATAGTTTAACAATTTTGTTAAACTTCATTTTGAGGCCATTATAAATAATGCTGCTGTGAACACTTCCATTTTTTTTGTTGTTGTTGTTATTGTTGTTTTGTTTTGTTTTTAAAAACTCCCCCTTTTTTTTTTTTTTTTTTTTTTTTGGTGGGTAATTAGGACTGTTTACTGGGTTGAATTCTAATTCTCTATTAAGTCTTTGAGAAACTGAAAGACTGTTTTTCGTCATAGTTGCACTATTTTATATATTCACTGGTACTGTATAAGAGTTCTAATTTCTGCATCTCTTCTAGTACTTGTTACTTTTGTTTGTTTGTTTGTTTTGAGACAGGGTTTCTCCTTGTGCAGCCTTGGCTGTCTAGGAGCTCTCTTTGAGGACCAGCTGCCCTCAAGGATCCTCCTGCCTCTGTCTCTAAAGTGCTGGGGTTAATGGTGTGTGCCACCACCTGCCCGCTTATTTTTTATGACAGGCATTCTATACTTGATCTTAGCCAAAAGGCCAAGAAGTGATATTTCAGGCATTCTAATAAATACAAAATGTTTTGTTATTGGTTTGCTCTAACTTTAATTAACCTAATTGCAGTGTCTCTTGATTGCTTGTGACTAGATGTTACAGGGTTGTGTTACTATCATTAGATCAGAAGCACGTTACTTACGGTTGTAACAGAGTCTAGATGAACTACATTTGCATTGTAAAAGGAAACAATAATAAAGCTTTTCAGTATTTGAATATTGCAGATTCATCTAAGATATAGGAAAGTAATATTATAAGATTTATTATTGTTATTTTATGTATGTGTGTGTGTATACAGCCATGGTACAGGACATACATAGAGGTCAGAGAACAACATTAAATAGTTGGTTCTCTGCTTCTGTCCTGGGTTTAACATAGGCCAGGACAGCTTTTACTTAAAGACACTGTCTCATTAAGCTGCTTGAATTTTTAAGTAAGTTTAAGCCACTGGAATGTTTTATATGAATGTATAGTCTTCTTACTTTTCTTACTCAAATCCTGAAGGGAAAGTTGAGTTTAGCTGTATATGAGGTGAGTTGCGGGTGAATCATCCGTGGAGCATGGTACTGTCAGGTAGTTAGGACTGCTCTTGTAAGGATAAGATTTAATGCATTGAATATGGGCTTTATTTCAAACCTAATTCTGACCAACCAAGCTTTGTCTTTGATAGACTATTAAGCTAATTCTAGAGATGGTAATTATAGCATCTACTTTAAGTTGTAAGGTGTAGGTGAGATGCTATGTCTGAAACCAGCTATATACAGAGTTATTGCTCTACAACTGATATAAGTGCTTAACAGTAAATATTTTAAGAAAGCAGAGATTTAGAGACTAGTTGGAGCCTCAGTGTCAGGTGAAATGACACTAAAAAGACCAGCAAGGAGGAACTAATATGGAGATTTTTTAGATTGTTTTAGTGGTGCAGTTTCTAGGTGGAAATGCACAGTATGTTAAGAGTTTCAGGGGAGACAATATGAGATAAACTTTTCACATTCAAAAATTAGTATTTTATTATGTGTATGGATGTTTTGCCCTCGTGTAGGTCTATGCACTGTGTTCATGCCTGGTGCTTGCAGAGTCCAGAAGATGATATTTGCTCTGAAACTGGCTTTACAGATATTTGTGAGCATCCATATAGGTGTTGGGAGTTGAATCCAGGTCCTCCAAAAGCACCCAATCCTCTTGCTGAGCTCTGTCCTGACCCTGGTTTACTTGTTTGTTTTACTTTCAAAAACATTTTTTGTTTTGTTTTCCAAGGTAGAGTTTCTCTATGTAGCCATGGCTGACTCGAAACTTGCGTTGTAGAACAGGCTGTCCTCAAACTCAGATCCACTTGCCTCTATCTCCTGAGAGCTCTGGGATTAAAGGAGTGTCCCACCAGGCCTGGTTAGTTTCACATACTTATAAACTACTGTGCTCTGATGAACTTCAGACATGCGTGCCTTGTTGTTAAATTGACAGTCACCATGTTCACATTGCATGATCATTGCTTTTTCCACTTAAGCCAAAATAATTTATTATAGAGGTTCTGAAGAATCTTACAGTCCCCTCAGAGGAGAATTACAGCTGGAACTAATAAGAGAAACACAGTCATTAGGAACCAACTTTAATCTTACCCAGTTGGACCCACTGAGAATTGCCTTGCTTTTTCGGGGCCTGGTCTTTACCTTTTCTTCAACATAAACTTTCTTCATTAAAGACCCAAATGTAACATTTCAAACCTCCACACCTTCAAAATCAAGAAATTTGATTATAAATTAAACTTTTAATTATCATACATTTTATTTAAAAACAGCAACATTCAAGCTTTGGTAAGAATAGTTTATCCTCCAGAAAACAGTCAGCTGGGCTAGTTAATGATGCTGCCATTGATGAGATATTCAGGCGCGTATACTCGAGTGTCTTACTAGCTACTTTATGTAATTCAGTGTTAAGGGAAGATAGCACCAATTGTGATGAGAACCTTAACATATAGCATGCACTTGACTGTTACATGATTCATCTTTAGAGCCTTTACGTTGTTCTTCTAATTTTATCTTTGACTAAATGAAATAAATCTTAGATTGTAAATTCAATTGGAACAGGGATTAATTACACTTGTTTTTTGTTCACCATTATATTTGTAACACTTAGTGGTTTGGTATATAAAGATAGCCCTATTCAATATATATTAAATGAATGAATGATACAGCCTCACTTTCTGATGGCAGAGGAACAGTGTGGCTTGCCTATATTAATGCACACTCATTAGCAGAACCAATTCCTGCCTATGAGTATTGGACTCCTAGCTTTCAGCTGGTACAAAAAAAAAAAATGAATGTTCCTAAAACATAATTACTTTTGGGAGGAGTAGATAGTCCTGGGAATGAACTCAAGACTTCGAGTATTCTAGGCTTATGCTCTGTTGCTAAGCTTTTTCCCTTTCTTTGAAACACTAATACTTTATATTCATAAATGACATTATAATTTGGATATGGCTATACCATTTTCTAAATGTCAAATTTATGTAACAAAAATGTTAAGTTATGACACAAAAACTGGAAAAATAGTATTGAACCTATATGTAGTTTCATAAAAAGTAAAAACTTTTTATTGCTTTTTTTTTGTTTGTTTGTTTGTTTTTAATAGGGGCATTTCTCTAGTGTGCCTTAATTGTGATTTCCTAACTGATGTTTCTGGCTTAGATAATATGGCTACACACTTAAGTCAACATGAAACTCATACTTGCCAAGTTATAATAGAGAAAGGTATGTATACATAACTATTATTTCAGATATTTTATATGTATTATTATTTTTGGTCAGCCAAAATACGGGCTCTTTACTAAGTCATTTGATTTCACTCATCATTGCTCAATGCTTTTGTAAATATAAAACTTTTCTTCTGATTTCAGTTTCTGTATGTATCCCAACTTCTGACCGTCTTTCTGAGTAAGTGTAATTTTTATTAAGTGTGCTTTTCTTTGGTGGATTTTAACATGGTTGCATTCTTAAGTGTGCTTTTAATAGGAGTGAAAAATACTGAAGTCTTTTATTTTTATTTTTAAGCTGCTTGTTGAAATAGGTTCCTGCTCTGTGGAGCTCATGACTTGGTGCAAGAGAAATTGGGATTTCCTAAGTTCAAAGCTCTGAGATGTTTCTTACACAAAGGCAGCTACATAAGCCCATGACACCAGTGCTTATTACTCAGCGCTCTCCAGCTCTCGCATGCATCTAGATTCCTTGTGTCAGAATCACATGTCTTAACATACCTCCCACCCCTCCAGTTGGCTCTCTAAAAATAACTTTTATTACTGTGGTCTTCTCTTTGCTTAAAATAATTTGTGTTTTTTTTCTGCTGTATGTGCCTCCAGAGTAGTGTATTCCAAATAATATAGCTGTTTTATCTTTTTGTTTGTTTTGTCTGCTTTCTTCATACCTTATGCCTTGTGTTTTTAGGCCAGATGGTTGTCTTTTTCATCATTCGTTGTCTGTCATTGTGCTATTTTTCTTATTTTTCAGATGCAGAAGCAGCCCAGAGATTTCAAAACATGTCCAGGGTGTCCTTGGACAGTGTCCCCTTCGATGGACACAAGTGCTGCCTGTTCTCTCTTTCCCAGGAATGAGAATGAACTGACTATGGGACCTGCTCTAGGTTCTGCCCTCCCATCAGGCTAAGGCTGATTTGGTCAGAGACAGCCTCAAGGACCACCAAATTAATTATGGCTAGCATTGGTGGCCTTGGCTCTAAATCTTAAGCTTATGGGCTAATTATGAACAAGAAAAGCCCATCAAATCAATGCTTTGATACCAAATTAAAATTTAGTCATTTTGGCTGCTGCTGTTAAATGTTCCACTAGCACAAAGGCACTCTAGGACATGCAGACACCCTGATTGCTGGGAGATAATGGCTGTGTCTAGTCTTCAGACAACAGTGCTCATTGACATGTTCTAAAATTACTGTCATTGACTATATATTATCCCATATTATCTATAATTTTAATAAGATTCTCAAATTCTTTTATTTTTAAATTTTAATTCTGATAGATTGATCTTCTGTTCTCTGAATGTACTGATGTCTGATTTTTCTGTTTTCTAAAACTTTTAATGTTTCACTTTGTCAAGAATTTCAAAAGTTCATGTAGGCTGTTTCTTTGTAGCTTTTAAATTTAGGTGTTGCTCAGGCTATTATATCTTCTGTCCTGTTTGAGGATTATTAATCTAAGTAATTCTAAGTTTTAAGGTATAACAAACTGGTGAGACATCTAGAAGATTCTAAAAACAAATTTTAAAGTAACATTTAATTAATATGTAAATTGAGTCATTAGTAACATTCCTTTGGGTAAAAGTAATATTAAATATACAGTGTAACCAGTAATACACAAGCCTCTTCCTACTTACACATTAAACTTGTCACTTTTTACATTAGCTACATTGAGTACAGATCAATTATTTTGATCTAGTATTTTAATAAATCTTGTATTTGTCTCAAATTATTTCCTAATGAATAATTTCATATAAAATTAAATTTTATCCCGCAAATACGAGCACTGCTTAACTGCTGTATACAGTAGACATCAGAGTACATCCACTTAATATATTTGTGTTCCCCTTAGACCAAATAAAAGGCCTCTGTTCTTGCCTGATTTCTTGGGTTTTGGAGACAGAGTGCTTTTTATGATCTCAACAATCATGATCAGCAGGCTTTGAAATTATAGTTTAAGCCTGTTTTTCTTGCAGCTTAAAACTGTTTACCCACCCCGATATTAAAACGTGATTTGTGCTTTTTGATGATCATTTAGTTTTGATGATCAGAAAAGACCCTACTGATCAATGACATTTGAGTCAAATTCCCAAGGGGATGAGGAAGGTCTGGGTACTAACTTGGTTATGCCTAAGTGTCTGCTTTTTCTCTTAATAGGAGTTAAATTCAGAATATGACATAACCCTCTTCCCAAAAATAATAACAGGGATGCTTGATGTTGAGAAGTTAAATGCCCATTTTATTTGGACCACTTCAATACTATATGCATTCTAATAAAGGGCATCTTCTTACATACCCCTTAAAGGCTGCCTGGCTTCATATCTTTACTGTATAGCTAAGGCCATAATTTGTACATGGCCTGGGGCAAACTCTTTCTAAGATCAAGTAAGTCAAGGAAATACAGGTTAAAATTATCTTGGCGTATGGCACATACCCTTAGTCCCAGCACCTGGGAGACAGAGACAAGTAGATCTCTGAGTTCCAGGCCAACTACATAATGAGTCCTAGGCCAGCCAGGGCTACATAGTGAGACCTTATAAAAAAAAAGAAAGAAGAGAGAGAGAGAGAGAGAGAGAGAGAAAGAAAGAAAGAAAGAAAGAAAGAAAGAAAGAAAGAAAGAAAGAAAGAAAGAAAGAAAGAGGCAATCAATAATGTGCTGTTTTTATTCTATATGTGTGTGTCTTAGAGAATATTGACCCACTTTTCCTTCAATATTTATTTGACATTCTCAAATTTTATTATTTATTATTAAAACCTAATAAATCATGTAAAATCCTAATATAGATTTATCATTATTCTTAATTGGAGCTAAAAAAAAAATAAGTTGTATAAATAGTTGCCTTAAGATTCCTAGAAAATGTTCCTGAATCTCATAAGGTATAGTGTATAATTAAATACTAACAAGTACATGTGTGCTCTCCCATTACAAACAAATGTTTGTAAACATTACAAAAAAATGTTGTCCTCATTATATTTATAAAATCAAAGTAGTACATAACAGAGGCAGACCAGTTATTAGCTTATTCTGCCTCTGATTTTAGGCACAAAGGATGCCTTTATTCAAGAACATGGTTACCTTAGTAACTTTTTGAGACTATTATTATTTCTAGACTTTACATTGTCTGTTAAGAAGTTTCTCTGTTTTTTTTTTTTTTGTTTTGTTTTGTTTTTTAATTTGTAAAGTTCTACTTTTTCCCTAAATGGCTTCCAGATTTGATACTGAGCTCCATATTAAACTTTCTCGGACCCTTAAAAGATTCTGTGGAATAGTAGAATGTAAGCTTTGTAGTAGATTGAGGAGTTTAGAGTTCCTGCATTGTTTACTAGATGTGAGGGGCTCTGGTTAAGTTACCTGAGCTCTCTGCCCCAGTTCCTCATCCTTAAAACGTGAATCACAAAAGAATCTATTTACAAAGGTTGAGGGAACTAAAGGAATTACTATATGCATGTGGTCTCTGAAAGTGCATAGCACACAGGCAATGAAAGTTACTGTATGGTTGTTACTGTTGTTAAGTCAATATCCATGGTTTTATGTCTTTCTACATTTTAGTAAGAAAGAATCACCTCATCAATTCAACCCATTTTTCATTTTAGACCACCCGTATCATTTCATATCACAAACCATTGCTGCTTATCTTTTTTAAACTTGTGTACAGAGTTAGTGTTGCGGAATGTGTTAGTCATACCATTAAACTTTTAAGTACACTAAGTTTAAGCACACTACTATGTTTAAGCATATTACGTTATGTTTTGAGAAAATATGTGTGATATGAAAATAGGTATATCACTTTATATATACTATCTTTTTAAATTCTACCACAATTTTCCACTAAATTATACTGCTTTGTACTTGACTACTTTAGGGCCTATCTGATATTTTCAATGCACTTGTGATTTTGAGATCCTTTTGTAGCCTTACTCTTACCAGCTTGGTATTTGACTACCCAGAGAGACTTACAGCTCCTTTTTCAATCTTTAAAATGAGACCCTAGTGATCTTATTCTTCCACATTTAAAAATCTGTTTATCCACACCTTTGTGACAGATGGTGCTGTAAAAGGAATGCATCCGTGAAATAAAGTAGACAGAGCTAGGCATAGATCCTAGTCAAATAGCCTATAGCATCAGTAAGATTTAACCCTTGCTAAGCCTCAGGTTTTTCAGCACTAAAGGAAACCCGGTAATTCTTTGTAGGGCAGCTCTAACAAATAGACACAATGTATGGAAATGAGTGGGTCATGTTAGTAAGTCAGATAATTTACATAAATATTTAAGTTATTTGGCACAGGCTGGAGAAACTAGCCACTTAGTAAATGTACATTGTAGTCACTGCTACCTCTGCTGATGCTGTTTCTGCTGCTGTTGCTGTTATTTCGTGAGTATAGGAGATCCTGGTGACTGGATATCTGTGAAATATCATGGTTGAGAATTTTAATGACAGTACCTCTATACTGTAGTTATTTATAGTTTTGATTTACAGCTCAGTCTTTATTCTTCTCAAATACTGGGTAAATGGCATCACAGTGCTTTAATTAAATACTGTGCAATTTTCTAACACCAGAATTGAGTGTGATCCTGCCTGCTTTGTCTGAAGACTATGGAACAACACTGCCTTACTGAAAACTAGTACAGAACCTTCTCTTGCTTAAAAGGAGAACAGTCCTTTAAAACTGACATTTCCTTCCTTAAAGACAACGGTTTTTTTTATTAATTGACATCAAGTAGGCATTTCCAAAATTCCCTAGCTGCTTATCCAAACCAATTTTATGAAAGTACTGGTTAACAGTGTTCTCATTCTTTTATAGAATGCTGAAGTAACTTTGGAAAGTAGTACATGTTTCTTCCAGTGTTAGGTCACATTGAACTCGGCCATGAAATCGCTGTTGTTTCCCCTTTCTCTGTCTCCTCCTCCTCTGTGCTCCAGTATGCCTGTATACTGCATACAGACTCACAGTATAAAACAGAACTGAAGTCAACTACTGTTTTGGTTTCTGAGATGTTTGTCCTTGCTGAAAACTTAAGAATAGAAAAATAAGTCTCACCCAGTGTCGTGGTGCATACCATTAATCCCAGTACTCGGGAGATAGGTCTCTGTGAGTTTGAGTCCATCTTGCTCTACATGGTGAGTTCCTGCAAGCAAGGACTGCATACTGAGATTCTTTCTCAAAACAAAAAAAAAAAAAAAAAAA